AAGTCTTTAAAAAAAAAAGTCTGAGTAGTAAAAGTTAAAAAAAAACAAAATAATTTTCAAAGAAGAAAAATGGATATGAATACTGACTAGTTGATTGCTATATTCTGTTCAGCCACAGAGCATATAAACAGCATTACATGAACTGTTCTAAGAATCCTAAAAAGCATCAATAACAGTAGCTTTATAGAAATAAACATGTGCCACCCTAGAAGTATATTCTGATTTCTAGCTACACAGAAGGAAGGAACTGGTCACTAATTACATAATCCCTTACAACTGATGTCTCTCTTGCCCAATCTGTCCAGCCACCAAGCCCTCAAGATTGAGGGAAAGAAGAGAAGCACTTAAAAACGGCTCCCTGAAGCCACAGTAACCAGCTGTTCAACCAACTGTCAGCAAAGGGAGACAGTCTAATTCTTCCCAAAGCACCACAGAGAGCCATCACACCCCACCACTTGTCCTATGGTAATCACATCAGCAATTAGGTGTTCTTAAATTAGGAATTCCCATTAGTGTTTTGAATTTAAAAGAAAGTAACCAAGGAGAAAAAACAAAAACGTGACTCACAAATGAAATCTGACTACTTGTGAGCTGGAAACCAACAGCCCTCTCTAACCATTTCCTGGGTCTAGATTTCCCTTTGCTGCTCTTTTTTCCTCTGTCCTTATCTTTCTTATTACTCCTACTTGAATCTATAATAGTAATAGTAAGCTAGGTAAGGTAACAAAAAAGCTAACACAGTTCCATTCTACCTACTCCATGATTATTCACAAAAATTTCAGTTAGGCAATATGCCAAAGTGAAATACTACACTGTCCCCTAACATTCCAAAATGCTCCTTCCTTAATGTATAAAGAAAGAATGGATCAGGCAAATAAGGTAGTGTTTGAACAGAAAAGAAAACATGAAAATCAGTAAGTCCAACGTTTTCCAACAATAGTTACCTTCAAACTTTGGGAAGGAAGGGTCACTAAAAGAAAATCTGGATTATATTTTTCTCTTTTCTAACCATTAAGAAAAACCAACACAGCTTTTCTTTTTTTCTTTAAATTGTGACATATAATTCTCTGATATAGGTTATCTATGTAAAAGTACCAGAAAACATTGCACATATGAAAAGATAGGGAAATTTCTGATTTGACTGACAACATACCAAAAGGTTCTATGAATTGATAAAGTTTTTCACCAACTGATATTGCTTCTGTATACTGCCGCAGATGATACAGAATGACTGCTTGATTATAATACAACATGCTGTTTTCAACATCATCTAATCCATCCATTTCTTCAACAGCTGAGTGGACCTATAAAACAATCAACAGAGACTGTTTTCTAACAAACATTAAGAAAATAAAGAACAAAAGTCAAAGAATTCATATGAGTAAACAGAAACACAGGCCAACATTCTTATTCTGAATTTTTCCATACTTTCTAGATTTTTAATTACTCACATAATGAAAATTATTTCATTTGTCTGTTTCATACATAATAAAATTCTGTTAAGTAAACTTT